AATACCTCACCTGTAACACAGTTTTATTAAAAACAAACAAACAAAACTGAGCTTGGCTCAGTTTTTCCAATAATGTGTGCATATTAGGACACATCAGCACTAATTTTGGCTAAACTGAAAAATGATACAAGGTAAGTTCTGGAACAGCTGCAAAATGAGAAGACAAGATGTTTTGTTATAACAAAACCAGAAATTCAGAGTCATACGTTCCATTCTTTTCCTGCGAAACTGTTCACAATTTAATATAAACTGAAAAACTAGTCCCTCTCCCAAGCCCTAATATTAATCTCAGGCATCCTTCCTTCTCCCCCAGTTGAGAACATGAAAAAATGATAGTATGTACCTTTTTTTTCCCTTCAACTCCAACAAGAAAACTAAACTACTTTTTTTCTGGATGAAGTCTCCGAAGTTTAATCGAATGTCTTCAGGTCCATATGCATTCCACATAACTCAAGGCATACTAAGTCAGGACCGTAGTCCCCTTACCCCTCCTTTCTAGCCAATGGAAAAATAAGTTAGCAATGCAATGCTGAAGGGCTTCTCTCCCAGCGAGAAGCCTGAAGTTGAGTGGGACCAATCTGACGTACCAGGACTCTCCTGCAACAGCTGCAGCTACACTCAACACAAGAGTTGTTCGTGCTTTTGCAAACAGTACTAGCTACACTAAGAAATGTCGGTAAGAGGACCAACTAAAATACTTAACAACAGACGTTAATTTACATTTGAGCTCTCAGCAAGTCATCTCTCTCAACTGTTACTCTGTAGGAGAAGGGATATATGTTTAGATACAATTTTCTAAACAACTAGTCAAGCCACTGCATGATCAGCAAGACTCATGCAGACTCCTTTCCTACCGAGTCCTCTGCCTCCCCCATAACCTCAGCTGTTTCCCGCATGTCCCCACTCTCCCCTAAGTTTCCAAGAACACTTCCCCCTCCCTCCTCCTCTCACCCGTGTCCCCAAACTACCCATTTGGGGTCGCTTGGTTTGGAGCTGCATGCATCCTGATCCATCAGCACGGTAACAGCCGAGTCTTTTTTCAGTCTAAGCACAAATCTGGATGTCTCTCAGAGGAGTTACTGGCAGCATGAGGTTTACTAGTTTTAACGTGTACTTTGGAAAGGCAACAGCTTCCAAGAATGTTTAAATTTACCAAATCCCACAGTCTAGCTTGGTAATGAAATGAAACTTCCCTTTAGAGAAGCTGCCAGCTGCCAGTTAAGACACATTACAAAAAGCCTTAATCCTAAACCTTTTTTAATTGTATTGACCTTTACATAGTGACCAAAACTAGTATTAGTCTTCCCAGAGTCAGAGATATTTAGCTGCATAGGAATAAGGTCAGGACGCTATTTTAAGTTAAGCAGTGCCACTCTCCCAGGCCCTTATTTAGACATACTTCTCCACAAAAAAAATTGTTGCATCTTCATTTACTTTGATTAAGTTAAGGTGCCACTCTCCCAGGCCCTTATTTAGACATACTTCTCCACAAAAAAAATTGTTGCATCTCTTTGACGTGAGCTATTAGAGAGTAACTGCTAACTGCAAATGTTAGTCTTGGTAGCACCTAAGTAAGCAGCATACAGAAGTCGATTCAAGCATAAACAATTCATGGGCTCTTTTTATTTCAGTAAAACTAAAGCAAACAGATTCTTAACTCATAACCACTCATAACCATTCAGAAAGACATCCATAAAAAGTTGTATTAATAAAAACTGACAGGCTTCCAGGCCTTTAAAATATTTCAAACATAAGGTACAATAAAAGATATCAAATGTTTACATTACAGTCTTGCTGCCTTACACACCATCATAAAAAGTGAACAAACACATTCAGTAACTTCAGGCGTACCATTAAAAAGACACCAGTAAGTGCTCCAGTTTTCTGTACCATACAACTTTATTTCAAATTCACATCTTTCTAGCCAACGTATCTAAAATATTTGACTCAAGAGTACCTTTAGACTGTAAATATTCTGAAACAGGGCATCAAGCCTTTCCTATCTCCAAACAAAACTTAAGTTTTAGCTCATGTTATAAAAAGTAACCATGTGGAATGTGACAAGTCATAATGTGAAATCAAAGTGCTTTAGTCCCATAGCGCAGACAGACACTAGTGGTTATCTAGCCATTCGGCAATACATCTCAAACACCAACAGAGATGTTTGCTCTGTTGCACCCCACCTTGCAAAGACCTTTGGACTGTTACGGTGAAATTTCATTAATTGACAGCTAAACAGTATGAGTGGACCAACAGTTTCACTTTGATACTTCGAATTACAAGTTATAAATGAGGCATCTTTTTACCATTTTTCAAGTTCCCTTAGTAATTACCAAAGTTCTACTGTATTATGCAAGACAAAACTATGTTCCAGTTAGTCTTTTAAAATCCAAAGTGTGCTGTATTCCAAATCCCAAAGCATCGAAACCCTCAAATTATTTCTCCAGACCCCAAGAGCTATCTAAGACTCAGTATTTTTGTGCAATTCTTACTATTTGCATGTGAAGAGATAAAACACTTCACCTAACAGTTCATATGAAAAAACTATAAACTCTCAAAGCAGAAAGTTACTTTAATAAGGTTGGGACATAGGTAGTTGCATGGAATATGTGCTCAATTCAGAAGTGGACATGCTGAAGAGGGCTCATGTTGCCAGTGTTCAGTCAGAAAACTTCCCTTCTACAGAAGTTTAAAAAGCTATTTATCTTCCAGAGTGAAGGAAGTTTAAGACTTAGGCATTTAATTCTCTTCTATGTTACAAAAGAATTAGCTCTACAGTATAATTCGTATGAGTATTCCCCCCCCCCTTTCAGACACCCCATTTTTGTACAAGTTTACAGCTTAAACGGGAAGGGCTGAGGGAAAATTTCTGGTCCTGTCCCACAGACGTAAAGACAAAGTGCTTTGCAAGACTGATTTTATCTATCACATTTGTGGCAACCAACCCAAAATGAAGGCACATGAAATCTATAACACAGCTTATAAATTATAAACTAAAGCTGAACCTCTGTATAATTTCTAGTCTTTTTGCACAAAAGTAATGACCAGCACCTATGCAGAGATTCAATTGTTTTTTCATGTAACTTTCCCCAGAAATAGTTAAGTGTTGCTTGCATGCCTATGCAAATACTGTCATTTATTAGGTTTTGACACAAAGTGCAGAAATTGGTAATTTATCCGCACAGGAAGTCTGAAACCAATGAATCGCCAGCACTCCCTTCCTCTGTCGCTACAAGAAATGTAAGCCACCAGCAACAGCTACAGAGAGCTGTTACCTTGAAAGTGCACAACTCCCGGCAGCAGTTTCCCTGTGACGTGTTCTAGAGCTTGTGCAAGCATTTAATCAGTGTCCCAGATTTGGATTTTCACATGTCAAAGCCTATCTACTTTTGGTTAGTTACCGGCCAGACAGGCACGTACATTCTGAGGAAGCCAACTCGAAACACGCTTTGACAAACGTTGCACTGAAATTGGCCGTACCTTAACTTCTAAGCACAGATGAGCGTCTACCTTGAGCAGCATTCAGGATCCAGGGTCAGCTCAATACCTCATTCTTAAGGAAAGCCGAGTCTGGATACAAATCTGCCTCCTAGATTTCACTGGAATTGCTACCTTTAAAGCAGAGAAACAAGATTCAAGGTTTCTGAAAGCTTTAGCAGACGGATAGGCTTGTCAACCAGATTAAGACTTACTAGGTTGCTGAACAACAGTTCAAAGCCCTGGTTATCACTTCTCTAGAAATACTGGTTTAAAAGAACTCAAACACCATTGCCATCACTTAACTAGAATATGTCATTATACCGCTTTCACTCAGGATGATAAACAGGGATAGAGTTTCAGAGTTCTGGTTATTCACCTTGTGTGTGAATTCACCGCCCCCCCTATTTCTGCACAAAGTCAGTTGAAGGGATTGGCACACAAGTTACTAGTGAACACAGACCTGTAGCTATTACATTACAGGCCCATATTAGAGTTTCATGAAGATTTCATGCAATGGTGTCTGTGCCCTTTTCCAAAAGAGAACCACTTTCACAGGTAGCACATACAACACAATTTTCTGATTTTAAATGCAGTGAGTTACACAAACAACATTAACAAGAATTGACCAGACTTAATAACTGAAACTGCGCTAGGTCTGGCACTTGAGAATTCACAGTGATTAAAATAAAATTGCTTTGCCTAAGACAAAACATAAGATACCAAATATATAAAAAGACTCTTTGCTTCCATTATCTTGTATTAGTATTCCAACAGCGATAAGCAAGCTCAGTAGTACCTCAGACAGCAGAGACTTCTGCACGTGGTTAACTTTATTCATTGTTTGCAGTGCAATGGATTTTTTTTTTTTTTAAAATATATTGACGATGTCAAATCAGGCAATTTTCAATGCATAAAGTCAACACAAGCTCAAGTCTTTGCTGGATTGAAGCTTGGATTCTGACAGGGAACCGTTATCTACCATCTCATTTTGGGTACCCAACTCCACACTGTGCCAGGTGGTATTGCTGTTAAAGAGAAACTTAAAGTACACTTGCATATTACTGAGGTGTTCTTCTGACATAGCAAGTTGCTGTAAGTAGTTTATAGTACCAGTTGATAATGTAAGAGTAGAGCATTTGCACTTTTCTTTCCCTCACTCAACTCGCTAATCCTAGTAGATTCACTAGCACAGGTTTCCGATCCTGAAGCCTGCCTTTAGAGAGAAAGGAGCACAGCTTTTAAACACCCCAGCGTTTCTCAATGCACCTGCTGCCTCTCATCTCAGCACTGAAGGCCCAGCCGAAGCAGCCGCTCTCGGGAGTTGTAAGCCACCAGAGCCCCGTTGACCCACTGGGCTCAATGACTCCACCGAACTGAGTTAAAGCAAGATACTCAGGATCCATCTCCCTGGAGTACACGAGTCTAGATGAGCACCCACTTGTACCTGCCTCACCTTCCGCACTACACCCTAGGGCACTTTGGTCCGTGCGCCCACCTCCCAGACCTCCTGCTCCCCGGCCTTATCCAAAGACATTGGACTTCGGCCTGAGCTTGAACGACGCTTTCAGGGATTTCTCCTCGTGCTCTTCTTCCTCGGTGTCACCACGAAAGGATGGCGTGTTGTGGATGATCTGAGTCCTGAAGCGGATCTTATTAAGCCGAGGCTTCATCCGCCCGCTGCCGGAGGCTTTCCTGGTCATCTCCTTGCCCTTGCCTGGCACTGCTGCCCCTTCAGTGCCCTCAGCTTCCTCCCCAGTGCTGTGATGGTGGTGGTGGTGGGAGAGCCGGTAGCTCATGAGGTTGGAGGGCAACACCTTGGAGAGCCTCCAGCGCCCGCTCCCATTGCCGGCAGCCCCTTCCTCCTCCTCCTCCTCCAGGGCCCCCACAAGGCTCCGCATGTCCCCCGAGGTGCCCTGGTGCAGGTACTGCGCGGCCTTGCGCCCGCTGTAGTCGCGGATGTCCACGTCGGCGTCGTAGGCTCCTACCAGCAGCTTCACCACTTCGGCGTGGCCGTGCATGGCGGCTATGTGCAGCGCGGTGTGCCCGCCACTGGTGCGGGCATTGATGTCCACGGGCAGCTGGTGCCGCTGGGCAAAGTTGACCAGCGTGGCCAGCAGCTCCTGCCGCCCGTGCTTGGCGGCCCAGTGCAGCACCGTGAAGCCGGTGATGAAGTCCCGCTTGCAGAGCAGCGCCGGCTCACAGCTCAGCAGCCCCTCCAGGCTCTCCCACCGCCCGTCCGAGGCCGACAGCATCCAGGCGTGCTCCAGGGGGTCCAGAGCCACGGCGCCGGTGGTGCTCCCCTCCTCCTCGGCGGAAGAGGAGGCCACCGAGGCGCTGTC